AGGAGGAGGAGGAGGAGGGGGGGGGGGGGGGATCTCCAACGTGAGCCTCGGCACGCGTGCGTTCGGCCCGTGCCTCCGCGTGCTGCGGGCCACGGCGGGGCCGCGAGCGAGGGACCCGGCTGGCAGGTGGCGGGTGTCTCTCGCACGTCGAGCTGCGCGCGCGGAGGGCGCGGGGGCCCAGCAGGCCCCTGGCGCGCGAGCGCGGGGTGCACATGCTCTTACGCGTCCCCGGGGCGAGGAGGAGGAGGAGGAGTGGGAGGAGGAGGAGGAGGAGGAGGCGGAGGAGAAGGCGGAGGAGGAGGAGGCGGAGGAGGCGGAGGAGGAGGAGGGGGAGGGGGAGGTGGAGGGGAAGGAACAGGAGGCGAAGCAGCACCCTGGGAGGGAACACTCTGCACGCGTGAGAGAGCTGCTGCCGCGCGGGAGGGGGGGGGACTCCGACAATGCGCCCGGGGCGCGTGCGCGCGGAGCACGCGCCTCCCCGCACGTGTTTTTCGGGCCACGACCGGGGGCCGCGGGCGAGCGGCCCGGCTCTTGGGGGGCGGGGAGTTCTCTTGCCAGCCTCGAACTTGTCCCTATCCCTAAGATCGACACGCCAAGAGGCGATGGCAATCTTAGGGATGCGCCCTCAAAGAATAAGGGAATCCCTAGGATTGGCATCGTGATGAGGAGATGCCCAGCATAGGGATAGGGATATGTTCCAGGCTGGTAATTCTCTGCACGTGAGAAGACGTGCGCGAGCGCGGACGGGCGGGGGGCCAACATGCGCCCGCCGAACAGGTGACAGGCGTCGCCGTGGTGGAGGGGGACGCCGCCGAGGAGGAAGGTGGAGGCATGGAGATGAGGAGGAGGGGGAGGAAAAAGGGCGGAAGGAGGAGGAGGAGGGAGGAGGAGGAGGAGGAAGGAGGAGGAGGGGGGGGAAGGAGGAGGTGGAGGAGAAGGAAGAGGAAGAGGGAGAGCAGGGGAAGGAGGAGGGGAGGAAGATGAGGAGGAGGAGAAGAGAAAGAGGAGTAGGAAAAGGAGGATAAAGAGGAGGAGGAGGAGGACGAAAAGGAGGAGGAGAAGGAGGGTGGGAGGAGGAGGAGGACGACGCCGAAAAGGAGGAGGAGGAGGAGGAGGAGGAGGAGGAGGGTGGGAGGAGGAGGAGGAGGAGGAGGAGGAGGAGGAGGAGGAGGAGGAGGAGGAGGGGGAGCAGCAGCAGGAGGAGGACGACTAGGAGGACGAAGAGCAGGAGGAGCAGGAGGAGCAGGAGGAGGATAAACAGGAAGCGCAGGCAGTAGCAGCTGCAGACAAGCAGACGGAAGTGTCGCACGCGCGTCAGAAGCAAGTTTGACTCCAATTCTTTCCCGGGCCCGTGGATCCCTAAAGAACTTCTCCTCCAGAGGAGGGGCAAGGTTTTCGAACGCTTTCCGGCCCCTCTGCTGCGATCGGCCCCGGGGGTGCCAATTGGGAAAGCGGGGCTTCTACTCATCACCATCATCGTCATTCTCACCATGATCGGCAGCAGTCTCGCGCCCGCTTCCGCCGCGCGCGCGCGCGCGGCGAGGCGGCGGTCGGGCGCGGCCGGGGGGGCGCGGATCGGCGGAGCGGCCGCGCGCCTTCGCCAGCCGCTGCTCCTTGAGGGGCGGGGGGGGGGGCGCGGAGGGCGGCCAGGGCCGGCGGCCAGGGGCGGGGGCCTGTCAAGAATTGAGGGGGCAAAGAGGAAGGGAAAGGACACAAGCAGGGGCCCCAAAAGGGCAATGGCGTCCAGAAAAGGGATCAGGGCAATGGCCCTAAAAGGGCCCCAAAAAGGGATCATGGCAATGGCCCTAAGAGGGCCCTTTCTCCTCCTCTTTGGCCCTATCAGGGCCAAAAAGGAGGAGAAAGGACATAAGCAAGGGCCCTAAAAGGGCCCTGAAAAGAGATCATGGGCAATGGCCTCCACAGAGCGACGCAAGTCGATGGGGTGTTCACCCGGCGGAGGATGTAGCCCTGGCGAAGCCTTCACCATGATCCCGACCCCCGAATCACTCGAATCCGCTCGAAATCAGCACTACCATCACCACCATCATCATCATCATTGTCATCAGCAGCAGCAGCATCATCAGCATCATCATCAGCATCACCATCATCATCATCGTCATCAGCAGCAGCGGCATCACCATCATCATTATCATCATTATCATCATCATCATCATCATCATCATCATCATCATCAGCATCATCATCATCACCATCGTCATCATCATCATCATCATCATCATCAGCAGCAGCATCGCCATCATCGTCATCATCAGCAGCAGCATCATCATAATCAACATCATCAGAATCACCACCACCACCATCATCGTCATCGTCGTCGTCGCCGGTTTGTCATCACCGTCATCATTAACAACAGCAGCATTGGCATCATCATCACCACCATCATCACCAGCATGATAATCCTAATCATCAGCATCATCATCGTGATCAGCATCATCAACATCGTCACCAATATCATCACCACCAGCATCATTATCGTCGTCGTCGTAATAATCCATATAACCAGCATCATCAACAGCATAACCATCATCAGCATCCTCATCAGCACCAACCACACCAGCATCTGCATCGTTATCATTATCATAGTAACGCTAAGATGTATAATTATAATGCTCAGCGCCATCAACATCATCATCATCAGCATCATCATCATCATCATCACCAGCAACATCGCCATCATAATCAGCAGCATCAGCCACATCATCATGACCATCATCACCAGCGGCCTCATCCTCAACACCATCGACATCGTTATCGGCATCATCATCGTCCTAGTAAACATCACCATCCATACCACCATCATCTTAACCTGACTCATCAAGATCGTTATCAACATCAACATCATCGTCATCGTCACCATACCCATCCACCTCAGCATCACCAGCGTCAACCATAACATAATCAGCATTAACAGCATAACCAGCATCCTTGTGCGTATCAACGTCAGAAGGAGCATCCGCAGCATCAGCATCGTATCAGTAGCATCATCACCATCATCATCAGCAGCAGCATCATCAACATCAGCATCAGCAGCATCATGATCAGCAGCAACACCATCATCAAATTCATCATCAGCACCGCCGTCATCATCCCATTACAAGCAGTATCGTCAGCATCGCGCCATCAGAATCACAGTTCTCATCCTCATCCCCATCCTCCTCATCCTCATCCTCATCGTCATCCTCATCCTCATCCTCGTTCGTCCTCGCGGTGCGCCTTGGCCGCAACGGCCCCCGAGAAGACGCCACGGGGGCCCGCGCAGGAATCGGGCACGGTCTCCTGCCGCCTCCAGGAGTCGATCACGCACTGCCCCCAGACGATGGTGGCCAGCCTGCCGCGCGCGCAGAGAAGAGCTCCCCGTGGCTCCCGTGCGGCCGAGCCAAGAGGGAGGGGCGCCGACCCTCCCTCGCGCTCATGCGTCCTCCTCATCCTCCTCCTGGGTCCTCCTCCTCCTCCTCCTCCTCCTCCTCCTCCTCCTCCTCCTCATCCCCCTCCTCCTCCTCCTCCTCCTCCTCCTCCTCCTCCTCGTACTCGTCCTCGACCTTTCTTGTCACACTCCCTCTCCTCCCTCCTCCTGGGTCCTCCTCACCTCCTCCTCACTCCTCCTCCTCCTCCTCATCGCCCCCTCCTCCTCCTCCTCGTCCTCACTCCACCTCCTCCTTCTCTCTCCTCCTGCACCTCCGCCCTCTCTCCGGTCCTCCTTCCTCCTCCCTCCCCCCTCCCCCCTCCTCCTGCCGCCGCCTACCCTTTAGTCGAGGATATCGACTGGCCCTCCACTCGTCTCCCTGCCCCCATGTCCCTCTGCTACCTCTTCCTCCGTGCTCCTCCTCCTCCTCCTCCTCCTCCTCCTCCTCCTCCTCCTCCTCCTCCTCCTCCTCCTCCTCCTCATCCTGCTCCTATTCCTCCTCCTCCTCCTCATCATCCTCCTGCTCCTCTTCATCATCATCATCATCATCATCAGCAGCAGTAGCATCATCAGCAGCAGCAGCAGCATCACCACCACCACCACCATCAATATCAGCATCATCATCAGCAGCAGCATCATCAGCATCATGAGCATCATCAGCATCAGCATCATCAGCAGCATCCGCATCAGCATCAGCATCAGCATCAGCATCACCATCATCATCCTGCCCCTCCTCCTCATCGTCGTCGTTATCATCATCATCATCATCATCATCATCATCATCATCATCATCATCATCATCATCGTCATCATCATCATCATCATCATCATCATCATTATCATCATCATCATCATCATCATCATCATCATCATCATCATCATCATCATCATCATCATCATCATCATCATCAGTATCATCATCATCATCATCATCGTCATCATCATCATCCTCATCATCATCAACAACAGCATAATCAGCATCATCCTCATCATCAGCAACATCATCAGCATCATCAGCAGCATCAGCAGCATCAGCATCATAGTCAGCATCATCAGCAGCAGCCTCAACATCAGAATCAGCAGTGATATCATCATCTGCAGCATCATCAGCAGCATCAGCAGCCTCATCAGTATCACCGTGATCATCCGCATCATCCACATCAACCTCATCGTCAGCATCATCATCAGCATCAGCATCATAAGCATCAACATCATCTTCATCATCAGCAGTATCATCATCCGCAGCAGCACTACTCCTCGCTCCCCCTCCTCCTCCCACATCCCTCCTCTCTCCGCCTCTCGTTCTCAACCCTATTCCCTCATCCTCCTCATCCTTGCGTCCCTATTACCCCGTCTTCCTCGTCCTCGTCCTCGTCCTCGTCCTCGTAGTCGCCCTCGTCCTCCTCCTTCTCCTCCTCATCTACCGACTTGCCCTAGATTGCATTCTGCCCGGGATTTCGAGACGAGCCTTCAGCGTGGCGACGAGGACATGCAAAAGTAACACGGCATCAAGCCTCCCCATCCATGCTCCTCCCCCTCTGAAGAAGGTGCAAAACGAATGATAGCACTTTGAAGCTTCCCCCACCGATGCCAATTCCCTCGTCCCTTCGCCTCCCTCATCCTGAGGTCCTCTCCCTTGGGTGTTACTATTGTTAAATACAGATACATAAAGAGTTGTCCGTGTTCAAGCTCGACGTCTTTTGTGTTGGGGCAATGTTTGTTCCGTCGTTGGATTATCATGTCGCCGTGTTCGGTTCGTTTTGCGATCAGGTGTTCATTGCGTTGAAATTACAGGTTGGTTTCTGATGTTCCGTTTCTGTCAAATGAGTGCTGCTTTGGGTTGCAGTTTCATGTTCTGGTGTGTGTTGCCGTGCTCCGCCCGATTTGGGCCCGGCGGATGTAGTGTTTGGTCTGTGTTGGGTTGTCGTGCGTTGTCCTGTTGTGACCGACCGCAACACGAAAAGTTGAAAACGAAAATACGCCCCAAATGCTTTTAAAAGCACATCAGTCCTCTCCTCTTCCTTCTCCTCCGCCTCCTCCTCATCCTGCTTCTCCTCCCCCTCCTCCTCCTCCTCCTCCCTCCTCATCCGTCTGCTCCTCCTCCTCCTCCTCCTCCTCCTCCTCCTCCTCCTCCTCCTCCTCCTCCTCCTTATGTTCCTCCACCTTCTCCTCCTCCGCCTCCGCATCCTTTTCCTCCTATTTCTCTTCCTCCGCCTCCTCCTCCTCCGCCTCCCTTTCTCCTCCCTCCCCCCTGGAGGGACGACGGCAACGGCAACCACGACCACCACGACGACCGCGACGACGGCGACGACAACGACGACGACGACGGCGACCACGACGACCACGAAGATGACGAGGACCACAAAGACGGCGCGACAGGCACAACTACGACGACGACGACGACGACGGCGACGACGGCGGCGGCTGCGACAATGATGACGATGGCGGCGGCGAGAGCGGCGGGCGCATGGCTGCGCGTGATGTTCGACCCGCTGGCCCCTTCTGAGGGGGGGGAGAGCGGACCGAGGCTTCGAGGGGGACGCCGGCCGTGGCCACGAGAACCCATCGAGAGGCTCGACCACTTCCAGAATGGGAGGCCTGGAAATGGGCACCAACACCAAGACAGAGGGCTGCCTCCACAGGGGGGAGGTGATCCTGGATTTCGGTGTTGGTGGTAATATTTCGGCCACCTTGGAAGCCAGAATCTTACCACCATCACCGAGATCGGGATCTTCTTCCCTCGGTGGAGGAACACCGCCGATCTTGGTGTTGGTGTCAACCTCTAGGCCTGCGAGAGGACCGTGGCCCTGGATCCTCAGGCGAAGGCCACCGAACGCAGCGACGGCGGATGGCGACGACGGCGGCCACGACGACGGCCAGGGCCACGACCGCGAAGACGCCGACGCCGACGACGCCGACGACGCCGACGACGCCGACGACGCCGCCGACGACGCCCTCCGCGCCGCCGCACTCCGCGCCGCGATTGCAGCAAAGGGCCGCCGAGGAGCCGCCGAGGATCCGGCACAGGGGAGCCCGCGGAGCGCCCCTGGCCGAGGGCGCGCGGGGCGGGGGCGCCGCCCGACGAGCAGAGACCACAGCGGCCAGTGGCTGCCCTCGGCCTCCGCGCCGCGGGGGCGCGCGGGGCCGCCGCCGCCGCCGCCGCCGTGCAGCCGTCAACCGCGAGGCTCACTGGCGCCCCGCCCCTGGGAGTAAGTCGGGCGTGTCCCCGGATCTTGGACGAAGAATAACAAAAACATATACTCAAAACAAATGCTCAAAAAATCGTGGGTCGATTTCGGTGGGTTCTGGGTTCCCGGACTCCCCGGTGTCTGGTCGATCTCCTCAGCGAGAACCACCCACTGACTGGGGATTTATCTGGTGTAATTGAATATGCCTCCTGTAGAGGGCCGGGCCCGACGTAACCCTGGGAGCCCTTCCCCGCAACGACAGCCGCCGTCCTCCCGCCGCGTCCGGGCTCGACGAACGCCGACCTCTGCGGCCCCCCCTTCCCCGCGACGGTCCCCAACGGGATGGGGCCGCAGCCCAGCCAGGGCGCAGCGGCGCCGGACGGGGCCGCGCCCGACGCCGCCGCCCCCGCAGTCATCGTGCTGCAGCAGGTGCTCTTCTGGCCACGGCGAGCCTCGGCCACGAAGGGGCTCCACGAGCCAGGTCTCGAGGAACGGCCGAGGCCTTCCTGAGCCCCCCGACGGTCCTGACGTCAGCGTCTTCTGACTGCAGGCGTCGCCGCCGCCGTCGTCAGACTCTGCTGTCTTGAGCGCGCCTGTCTTCTCGGTACTCGGCTTCGTCTTCTTCTATGCTTGTCAGTCCCCGAGCCAGTGCCTGCACTTATAGGGAAACAAAAAGTGGCATAAACATAAAAACTCGGAGGGCCGCGCGGATTTCTCGGATCGGCGCTGGGGCCCCCCAGCGGCGCCTCCGGCACCGCCCATGGCGCGCGGAGCGCGCCAGGGAGGGGGGTCCAGCGCCGATCCGAGAAATCCGCGCGGCCCTCCGAGTTTTCTATGTTTATGTCACTTTTCGTTCCCCTACAGTCGGGGCGTTGACCTAAGGAACCCTACATAAGGAACGAGGCCCCTTTCTCCATAAGTTAAACTTCGATTTCCGATCAGAAACATAAGGAACACCTGAGGCGAGCTGTGCAACACTTAAGGAACACGGAGCCCCTCCCCAACGAAAAGGGCTCCTTCTTCAGGGCCCCGACTGTACCTTCGGGGTTCTGCCGTGTCGCATGGGGACTGTGTGTTCTGCCGTGTCGCATGGGGAATCGACGATTAATTGTGTCTGTGTGTGTTTTTTCCCTCCTGATTCTGCCTTGTCGCATGGGGAGCTGGGCCTCGAGGCGTGAGACTGCGAGACCGTGCGCCGGTCTCGGCCGGCTCGTGGCCGCTCGTCGCCAGCGTCCTTTTCGCCGCGCCGTGGTGGTCACGGTCCCCCTCCTCCTCCTCCTCTCCTCCTCCTCCTCCTCCTCCTCCTCCTGCTCCTCCTCCTCCGCCTCCTCCTCTGCCTCCTCCTCCTCCTCCTCCTCCTCCCCCTGCTCCTCCTCCTCCTCCTCCTCCTTGTGGTCACGATCCTGACTATGCGAGGCTCCCGCATTGAACGGTTCCGCACTGCCTTGCACTGCTTGGCGTTGCTTTGCAGCGCTTCATCCGACCAGCCATAGCTGGGGGAGCTGTGGTCCTTACCACCCTGGGGGAACCCATCGCGTCGACGATCTCTCGAGAGGGGCGTCGAAATCGATGGGTCCCCCAGGGGGGTAAGGACCACAGCTCCCCCAGTTGTGGCTGGCCTGTTCATTGTGCGTTACTATAAGTTGCTCGCGTTGGTTTGCATTGCGTTGCAGTGCGTTGCGTTGCGTTGCGTTGCATTGGTGTGCGTTGCTGAGAACTGCACCGCGTCGCATTGAGTTGCATTGCGTTGCATGACGTTGCAAGCTCTTGCATAGCTTTGCGTTGCTTCGCAGTGCTTCGCAGTGCTTCGCATTGCGTCGCATCGGTTTACACTGCAATCGATTGCTTCGCATCGCGTTACATTGCTTGTTACGTGTTTTGGATTGCAATGGTTTGAATCGGATTGCATTGCTTCGCAGTGTTCTGCATAGCTGTGCATTGCATGACCCTGCTTTGCATTGCCTTGCGTTGCGTTGCGCTGCGTCGAATTGCATCACATTGCTGCGCATTGGTTTGCGAGCTTTGCCTTGAGTTGCCTTGTGTTGCATTGCGCTGTCGTCCTTGGCACTAATGTGTATTGAGTTGCACTGCTGTGCACTGCTTCGCATATCGCTTGTACTTGCTTTGTATGCTTTGCATTGGTTCGCCTTGCGATGCCTTGCGATGCGTTGCTCTGCCCCACATTACAGTCATCGGCCTGACCTAAGGAACGATCAATAGGGAACGAAGCCCTTGCTTTCCAAGGAAAAAACATCAGGAACGATACATAAAAAAACGCAGAAGGAAGGATACGTAACGCATGCAAGCCTTAAGGAACGACCGAGCCCCTCTTGAAAAGTAAGTGTTCCTTACTCAAGCCGCTCACTGTAAGTGCACCACGTGGGCTGCACCACCGAATTGATTGCACCACCGAGACTGCACCGCACAGGCTGCAAGACATCAAATGCTTGGGGCCCACGCTGGCCAGCCTCCCCCCCCATGTGCTCGAGCACACGCGCAGCTCGACGGAAGAGGTGGCAGCTCCTGGACGGGGCGCACCAAGGGACATGCCAGGACGACGTGTCCTTCCTGGAGGCGCGCGCCCGATCCCAAACATGCAGCGCAACCCGATTGTAGCATCTCCTGTTCCGAGCGGTATCACATAGTATTGTATCGGGGGTGTCCCCCTACAGGGGGATTGTCGACGAAAAATAAAAAATACCCAAAAAAACAACTCCAAAAAGATAAAACAATACTCACGAAATAGTCCCCAGACTATTTTTGGATCATTTTTTGATTACTTTTGGGGTCATTTAGTTTTTCGTCGAAAATCCCCCCGTAGGGGGACAGGCCCGACTTAATACCAGCCTGGCCCGCGACCCACCCGCGACCCACCCCAGGACCCACCCGCGACCCGCCAAGGGCCCCCCGCGCGACCCGCCCACTCTGCTTCCACGGAACATCGGCGCCTGCGGCGGGCTCGCTGTACAGTCTGTACAAGAAAGAGCGCCTGCGGCGGGCCTCTTCAGAGCCTCGCGGACTGCAGACGTCCCCGCCGCCCCCCTCCATCTGACCCGCGACTGCGGGGTGTTAGGAGGCAGCTACTGGGAGGCTTTCGGCGGAAAGAGCAAGGAAGAGTGAGCCCCATTTGGGAGCTGTTACGCCGGAGTGGGCCTCGGATTAAACGGGACTAAGCCAAATTGAGCGGGATGAAACGGGATTAAGCGGAATCAAGCCGGATCAAGCCGGACTTCGGACCAGTGCAGAATCAGAGTTTGACCTCCCAGGAGTTGCGTCCCAAGGGGTGCTGCGCATGCTCGGGTTGACGCCGACAAGATGAGCCTCAGAGGCTGCGCTCGAGGGCCTCCTCCTCTTCCTCCTCCTCCTCCTCCTCCTCCTCCTCCTCCTCCTCCTCCTCCGCCGCCTCCTCCTCCTCCTCCTCCGCCGCCTCCTCCTCCTCCTCCTCCATCCTCCATGCTGAGCGCCCCTGTTGGGGGGCGCTGCCGGAGGCGCTCCCTTGCCGATGCGGCCAGGCGCCGCCTCTCGCAAGACAGCGGCAGTCTCCTGCAGGCCGAGTTGTTCGTCGTGTGAGTGGGTTATGCTGGGCAGGATGTTCGCGAGGTGCAAGCGGGCCAGGGAAGCAAACCTCCCCAGACCGCTGGCTCTCAGCGTGATTCAAGATCACTTCGACTGAAGTTGGGGAGGAGGGAGGAGAGAGGAGGAGGGAGAAGGATGGAGGTGGTGGGAGGCAGGAGGTAGAAGGAAGGAGGTAAGAGGTAAGAGGGACAGAAGAGGGTAAACGGATTAGACGTGGCTCCAACGAAAAGGTGGACGGGCCAGAAGGATGCGGGAAGAGGAAGAGGGAGGAGGATGAACGCGGAGGCGGCCAACGGCCAACCCCCGCCCGCGCTCGGATCCCGCAGCAGGGGCACGACGGCGGCGACGACGACGACTGAAGAGAACGACGACGATCACGACGACGACGACGACAACGAAAACCAAGACAGCGACGACCACGACGACGACGACGACGACCGCCACCACGATCGCGACGACGACGGGCGAGGAGACCCCAGACACCTGCCGAAAGTGCGGCCCTCGACGCGCGGGCGCCCGAGGGGTCCCCCGCGGGGCCAGCTCTTCGCCTCGTTGTTTGTCGTTGTGTCCTCGTTGTGTCCTCGTTTTGTCCTCGTTTTGTACTCGCTGTCCTGAGCGCTGTTGTTCGTTCTGTCCTCTGGACCTGAGCGCTGTTTTTCGCTGTCCTCGCTGTGCTTTTCTCGCTTCGCTCGACCTCTTCTCCTGGACCCCCCTGCCAGAACGCAAAAAAAAACCAAACGCCCAGCCGAGGCGCCGCAGAGAGCAACGCGTGCTTTCGGGCCCGGCCCTGCCTCGTGAGGCGCCCGAGGGCCGGGCCCCCGGGAGAGGCCCGACCGAACGCCTGGGCAGACGCAGGAGGAGGACCGAAGCGCAACGCGTCGGCGCAGGTCTGGGGCCGACGACGGCGAGAGGTGGCGGCGAGAAGGGTCCTCCTCCTCCTCGATCCTCCTCCTCCTTCTCCTTCTCCTCGATCCTCCTCCTCCTCCTCCTCCTCCTCCTCCTCCTCCTCCTGATCCTCCTCCTCCTCCTCCTCCTCCTCCTCCTCCTCCTCCTCCTCCTCCTCCTCCTCCGCCTCAATCCTCCTCCGCCTCAATCCTCCTCTCCTCCTCCTCCTCCTCCTCCTCCTCCTACCTCCTCCTCCTCATCATCCTCCTCCTCCTCCTCCTCCTCCTCGATCCTCCTCCTCCTCCTCCTCTCCTCCTCCTCCTCCTCCTCCTCCTCCTCCGCCTCAATCCTCCTCCTCCTCCTCCTCCTCCTCCTCCTCCTCCTCCTCCTCCTCCTCCTCCTCCTCCTCCTCCTCCTCCTCCTCCACTTGGCGGCGCGCACACGGGGGTAAAGGGGGAGGGGGAGGGGGCTG